AGTCATATAGATAGAGTTGTAGTAGATTTAGATGTAGAATTTGATTTGTAATTTTCTTTCTTTTGTACATATATATATTATGTTATTACTTTCTTTTTCAAATAAAATAAACGGGTTTACTAAATCACACCACTGGTGTTCAACACCAGTATCGGAAAGTAGATCGGAAAATCATATGATTATATATAAATAATTGAATAATAATCACTTATTAATTACACCACTAGTGTTAACACCAGTGGTGTTAATAAAATTTTATTTATTTTACTTTTTTTTTTTTTTGCTTGTTTGTAATTAAATTTTTTTTTCAGTCTTTTTCCTTTGCAGTTGATTAATCGTTTGCAGTTGATCGTTTGCAGTTGATCATTTGCTATTCATTGACATGTTTGAACCCAGTAACACAGACACAGTAAATATTTACGAAACTGGTAATACAGAGAATTTTTTTGATGTCGAATCTGGTAATGCGGATAATTGCTCTAATGCATTCGATCTTGGTGCTCAGGAGAATTTTTTTGATGCCGAATTTAGTAACGCAGATAATTGTTCTAATGCACTCAACCTTGGTGCTCTGGTGAATTGTTCTAGTGCACTTGACTATGGTAATCCGGAGACTTTTTTCGATGCCAAATCTGGCAACGCAGATAATTATATATTTGACTTTGGCGATTCGAGAAATTTTTTTAATTCGCCTGACTTTGATAATCTGGAGGCTTACCTTAATGCATTTGGGCCCAGTGACATTGAGGCTTTTTTAAATACATTTGATTCAAGTAGCCCGGTAACTTTTTTTGAATGAACTGATAATGAAGAGGACAATGATGTTATAGAAAATAGAGAAAACCCCCCCAAATTCATCTCCAGAACTACGATATCCTATTGAATTAAATATGAGCTTTAAAGACTGGGATGAGTTTGGTAAATGGGTTAATAATCATAGAACAGAATATGAGTTTGCTTTTACGATTACCCATAGTGAAAAAGACAAAGAGAATGAGATCCCCGGCGTCGTACTTATAAATGTATGAAGGGTCGACCATATGTATCTCGAAAAGAAGCACACGTCGTTAATAATCGTGATAGTGGCCATCACACTACTGGTTGCACATTCCATGTTAATGTGTATCGACGCAAGGAAGACAATTTGATCTATATAACAAAAATTGACGGTCGGCATAATCATGCGCTAGTTAATAATATAAATATGGTTGCACCACATTATCGGAAGCTTACTTCAGAGATGAGCGATGAAGTAAAATTTCTTGCAAGTTGTGGAGTGCGTGCTGGTGCGATAATTGAGATTTTACAAAAAAAATTCCCAGATAAATATGTTCATGAACGTAGTATATATAATTTGATTCAGTCAATCCGGTGTAAAAAAGAAGAAATAAGTGATACTGGTTCGTTGTATCTCAAGCTTATTAAGAAACAGCAGGCTGATCCCACTTTTCATATTGACGCTCAATTTGAGGGCAAGAACAATCATCTTACAAGGCTTTGTTGGATGAGCCCAGGCCGGCAGCAGTTGTGGGCCCACTTTCACGATGTTGTCCTTCTTGATTCTACGGCAAAAACCAATCGCCACTCAATGATATTGTGTATCATAATACTAATAGATAATCATAACCGTTCTCGCCTTACAGCGGCTGCTATAGTCTCTGATAAAACAAAAGAAACTTATGAATGGTTATTCAAAAGTATTCTCAGGGCGACTAGTAATTTGGCTCCATGTTTGCTCTATACAGACGCTGACCCTGCAATGATTGCAGTGGCTAGCAATTCCTTACCAACAACGAAACACTATTTCTGTTTATTCCATATCCAGAAAAATTTAAAAAAACATTTTCTTGGTAAATATTGTGAAAAGTGGGGCGAATTTTTTGCAGATTTTTGCTATGTGCGCAATAGTCGTGTGGAGTCAATTTTCGAGGAAAAATGGGCTACATTTTTACAAAAATATCCTGATGCTGCAAATTATTTGCAGCACTAGCTCTATCATTGCAGAGAGGCTTGGGCTCTGTGCTTTACACACCGTGCATTTAATGCAGGTGTGCAAAGCACACAACGCGTTGAGTCTTATAATGCTAAAATTAAGAATTGTGTTAATGGACTATCTTCAGTCTTAGAGCTTGAACAAAGTATTGAAAAATTGTTAGAGAAAGAAAGCCGGTTTGTACACCTTAATGAGACTATGAGTCAACTCCCAGTAAATCGAGAAGAACAGTACTGTAATAGATATTTTAGTGCAGTTAATATGTCATGCCAACGTTTTTTAACGCCGGCAATTTTAAAGCTTCAATGAAATGAAATAAATCGTAGTATACATTACCGGTATCATATAGTTAATCTTGAAAATGAGCTTGAACAACAAGTAAGAAATTATAATTATATAATTACACGGGATGAAATAGTAAGAAGTGATAATATAACTTTAATATTTGTAATTTTTATAGGTTATCAACAAGTCGCCAATAGGAATGTTTTCTGAAGATATGTTTGACGCGAGTATTATAGAATTAAAACAACTAATTGATGGCCTTGATCAAATAAAAATTTACGAATTCTGGCATATTTCCTCAATCGACCAAAAAAGCATGCACTTTATTGTGATTTATGATAATAATGTACACCTTTGTACATGTTTAACATTGATAAATCATGGTCTTGTATGTCGGCATTTTTTTTCAGTAATGCTTTTTTCAAAAACCGCGAAATTTCATATTGGGCTTATACCACAACGATGGTACTTAGACACATTAGTTGATGTCTCGATATTATTTGAACCATCAATTGTAGCAGGCTTGAATAGCCAATCGGATATGGGTGAACATAATTCGCATGTTGATTTTTCACATTTAGAACATATTCATGGAAAGCATGTTTTTAGCAAATCGGTTCGTAATGAAATGACATGTAGATTTCAATGGGGAAAAGAATTGTATGATGAAAAAAACGCTTAACTTGGCAATTATGACGAATAAAACTGAAGAGCTCTATAAGATTCATAAAAATCTCACCAAAGAAATGGAACTTGAACTTATAAAGGAGAACAATAAGACTAAGCATAATGACCCGGAGGAATTTGCCCGTACTATAAGCAATCCTATAAGTGTTAAAACAAAAGGCAGAAAGTCAAAAAGAATTTAAAGCTTCAATGATAATACGAATATATCAAAAGGTAAAGATAAAAAAAAGCAGATTCCTCAAGTTGAATATAATAAATCGGATAATGATAACGATGTTAATTATAAAGGTATGTATTATTAGGATTGTTATTTGAATTGTGTGATTTATCGAAATTTGATCATTTTGGTTAATAATATAGAAGAAGGTAGTAACGTGAAAGAAAAAAAAGGTGTAAAAAAATATGGAATTTGCAACTTAAAGGGTCATAACGCACGCATGTGTTCAGGTTTAGCTGAATCTGATAATTCAGAAGACAATTTGGAAAATGATGATTCAGAGGGAGATGATTCAGAAGAAGATAACTTAGAAGAAACTAGTATTAGACGAAAATGTGGAATTTGTAATCTGAGGGGTCACAACGCACGGACCTGCTCAAATAAATAAGTTTAATATTAATACTGCTGCGACAAAAAGTCTCGAATGTATATGTAATTAGAGTAGCTTTTCATATTTACTAATTAGATAGGATGCTTAATTTGTGTGAATTATAAATGCCTCTGCTTATAGTTGATATCAAATTGCAATGCTGCATTTTATATGCACATACAATAGGCGGTTTAACATTGTCTGCTAGAATGTAGATTTGTTATTCAAGAAAACTAAAAGATAGAAGTTTGATTTTACAATCAAACCTTACAGTAGATTACACTACCTTATCAATATTCAAGTTTGTTGCATGAGAAATTCGGGTTTAGGTTTAAAATACACATTCATAAGTTGTTTGTATCTAGTGATTATATTAATAATAGGTTTGGTGGTTTAGGCTTGTTTTATTTTCTATGCGTATATACCCTTGAGAGTAAGTAAAATTTGAGTTAGGGATGTTAATCAGTCTTTTGGGATCGAATCCTAACTGATCCTTACAAGGATCTGCCAGGATTCTGTCCTTAAATCACATGAAAACACAATAACATTTTTGGACTTAGCATTAGATTCTGAATTGAAATTATTATCGTTATAACAATACAAATTTAATTTGATTGAATAAACTTGTCGATAGATTCAATTTAGCGTTAGGATCTGATACAGGATCCAAGTCCTATAAGATGTATTGTATTAAGGACCGAGTCCCAGGACCGTCTTTTTAAATCCTAGGATTGGATTCACAATTTAACATTCCTAATTTGAGTTTTCATTGTATCGAATTCAGCCCTTGAAGAATACAATTAAGATATATAGTATTGTATAAACTGCTTGATAGTTTCTTAATTTAGGGGATGGCTAAAGCCATGTACCCACGTGATTTTTTGAAATTTTAGTTAAAATTTGTATCAGAGACTGTTTAGATTAGGGTCGGGGTTAGGGTTAGAACCAATATAAGTAAAATTACCTTCCCGACATTTTTTATTAATAGCCCAAGGTAGGTTTAGAATGCCGTTTTTTGTTCTTGCGTTTTTTTGTTTTTTTGACTTCTTCGGGCTGATCCAAAATTCTGTGACTCCGTTTGGTTGATCTACACGAAAATGTCATGTGGGTACATAGCTTTAGACGACCCCTTAATTTACGTGAATTTTTGTTAACACGTAATTGTTGCTTCATAATCATGTGCGTAGGAATCCATGATTACATTTATCGAAAATGGATTATTACAATTATCACAGGTAGATCTACAAAAATTATCCAATCAGACGAATTTAGATATAAGTTAGTAGTATTGTTTATTTATTGTATAATTATTTATATATAATCACATGATTTTCTGATCTACTTTCTGATACTGGTGTTGAACACCAGTGGTGTGATTTAGTAAAACCGAAAATAAATATATAAACTAAAAAAAAAATAATGATAATAATAATAATAATAATAATAATAATAAAATAATAATAATAAAAAAAAAAAAAAAAAATCAATTATTCAAATACTTCAACTAAGGGCCACACTGAACTTGGTACCTAGCAGGCAGCTCCTTTAGCCAGTCTCGAACCTGGGTCTGCATA